GCTTTCATTTGTTTGTTTACAGTTATTTCTTGAAATTTCAGATACCTCTGATGAACAGAATTCACAGTCTTCAATGGAAAATTCCATGAATAGTTCAGAGAAAGCAGAAATTCAGTCCTCTGGAGAAAATGATATAATTACAGAGGCATCTAAAAACTCTCAGGTAACTTTAAGTGCAAAAGCCCAATTACTTGGAATTTGGAAAAGAGTATTTTTACCAAAAAGCAAATGTAAGGAGGCCAGTTGTGTATTTCAACTCATTTCCAAAGGCGAGGACAGTCAAGCAGCTATACAGCATTAAATGTACATGTATCTGGTTTTGTGGTTAATTTGATTGGCTTCTTGCATTTCACATAATCTGAACACTAAGGCTAGATTGGTCTGATTTTACTTCTCAGTTTCCTAAACCAGTCTGTGTTAGTTTTGTAAGGGAATATTAAAATTTAATGTTAATAAATTGCTTGGACCTAACCTACTGGACAGGCCCCTTTGAGGACCATCCAGAAGTAAAATAACTTCTATAAAAGTAAATGCATATAGCAGTAGGAAAGTTAATTTTTGTAGATTCAGTGGACAGGATGTTTGGATTTTTACTCACTGGTATACTGAAAAATTCTGAGCGAGTGGGAGAAAGAAGTTTTTCTTGCAGTTGTCCCCCTCACACCGAGGTCCTCAGGCCAAGCACTGCTCAGTCCATCGGTTTTCCTTGTGGGTGGTTGGCTTGTTTCAGTGCACACTTTGCACTTTCCAAACCTTGTGTGTTCTGTCCCGTAGAGATTGCTCTGGCTACAGCAGGAGAAAATTCCTGTGCACTTGGTGTGGGTTGTGCTCGAGTGTGGAGCTGAGGGAAGTCTGGGTATAACCATGCATCAAGGCTGTTGCTTGGAATATTCACTGTGTTTTTTAGCCCGGAACTAGAATTTTGCCCTTTGTCAGTTGATGACAACAAGTGTAGAGATGTTGAGGTAAGATGTAAGTAGAGAAGTGATTTCAGGAAGCAAATGCACTTGATCATGTCATTCTCATATCCAGGGATGATTTTTATTTTACAAATGACACACCAGGGAATTTGTTCATGCTTTTTGTTTGATGTTTATGGCGTCTGAAATTCAGTGCAATGATAACGTGGTTGTTTTTCTTTTTCCCCTCATTAAGGACTCTGAAGGAGTGCCACCTTCTAAAAAGATGAAAGTAGAGGCTTCCCAACAAAATGTTGAAGAGATTTAGACTATAGATTTTTCTGGTCAGTTTTTATGTAAGGTACATCAGTGGGCTTAATTCTAGAACAACCTTACTTAAGCATCTTCTCTTGGATGAGGACAGAACTCCTAACTTTTCAAGTTACCAAGCAAAAATCCAAGAAAGCCTAACAAAGGTTTAACTTCTCAGACACTGAAAACTTTTTCCTGTGAAACAAACATTGAGAACTTTTAAGTTACTGTCTCTGAAATGGTTGGAGTAAACAACTCAGGAGGGGTCTACGCACTGTTTCTAAAGTCAAAATTACAATTATGTTGCTGCTGTATTTTTTTTTTTTCATTTCTCTATTTAACATTGTAAGATATTTAAGGATGGTACAGGTCAGGTATTAGCTTTCATGTGAAGTTCATTGTTCTGGCGTGATGTCTGCTTTTGTTTTGTGCCTTGTGTTCTGAAAACAGTGCTAACTTTTAAAAGTTGGTTTGCAACTGTCTCCTTTGCAAAGTGGCCTATGTTTGTATAATGCCATGTAGTAAGGCTTTTTCTTTTTTTTTCTTTTTTTTTTTCCAATTTTTTCTTTTTTGTTTGGGGTTTTTGTTTTTTTATTGATTTTTAAATCCCTGGTGCTTACATTTTTAACAAATACAGATCAGGAAGCCATTTTCACTCTTGGAGTCCAAGGAGAAAAAGGAGCTTGATATTTTATTTTAGCAGCTATAGTGGAGATCTTTTATTGAATGCATGGCATTCGCAACTGTAAATTTGGTCTTCTAAATACTTAACTTCATCAGAAGTTAACATGATCTGTCTACCATTTATAGTCCAGATCTGAATATATACTATAACACAGCAGTTAAAATACTTACGTATTAGGTCCAGATCTCTGTACTGGGTACAACTTGCTTTACAGAAAAGTTCCACTATGTACATAAATAGGATCAAAGGGATTGATGCACAGTGAATTTATTTTCAATTGGTCTTTTTTGATATCATGGTTTCACTGAACTGGATTTCATTGTACTGTTTCTTTATAAGATGTTTACTTCTCTGTTCCACGTTAATACTGTATTTGGGATTTCTTTTTCTCTTTCAGCAAGTCTTGTAAATAAGCCTTGTTGTTTCCATAGTCCCCACATCATCGTTAAAAATTTTCCTTCTTGTTCAATTATGTTGAAGCGTGCTTATGCTAAACTTGATTGAAAGGCACTAGGTAGGTGCAACTCCCTTCAAATTCGTGGCACATAGAAGTGCAGAACCACCTGCATCAGGTCACAAGGGCCCGATCTCACAGTGGGCTTTGTACTTCCAGGGTGAGCTCCCAGCTATAACGACCTGGTGTCGGTGGGAACCGCTTATTTCTCACTTCAGTACACAGACGCGCGCAGGTACGTACGTATGTATGTACATACGTATGGCGGAGTCGGGCCCTTAGTCTGTCCTCACTTGGTGTGGGAGATAGAACTTGTAATTTAAAATATGATCTCACAGCTATGAAAATGGTTGCATATAGTTTGTAAGCTAAGAACTGTAAATACTTTTTTAAATGAAAAAAATTGCTTCCAGTTGATACATTTTCATAATTAGCTCTTCAGTAAGCTTATTTATTTCTGAATTCTCCAATAGTGAAAATGGCTTGCACTTAGACTACTGCATTGCGTTCGCAATTACCACTTTATTATGAAAACCAGTGGGGAAGCAGGGGGAGGGAATAGAGGGAGGGCGGAGTGGGGAGCCAATACTGACCTTCCATAAGATGTTTGTAGGATTGAACTCCAAATAACATATGACACTCAGTTTCGGAACTTTTCCTTTATGTTGAAATAAAATTTTTTGGATTTTAACTGAATAAAATTTGATTGCAAGTCATTCATTAAAGCAGTGTGCTCCCTAATAAGTTTTTGGGATTTCTGGTCTGATCATGAAGTCCATTAACATTCTGAAAATAAGGAAATGAGGAGCCAAAAACTATATTTGCACAATATATGCAATGAAACGGTAGAATTCTCTCTTGAATTGTGTGTATGCCTAAAATGTGGATAACTGGTCAATGACGATTGATTTGTATGTATATTACATTCAGATTTAAGTGATATTTTGTGAGAAGTTCTATTGATATATTAAATGGGCAAATCTAGAAAGATTCAAACTTAAAAATATTTTTGATTTACTAACTTTTTGTTGTTTTTGATGCTAAAACAAAACAAATCTGATGCCACCTTTGACAAGTAGTCATGTTTACTAATCCCTATCTTCAGGTGCATCGCAGCAAGTTTTTAATTTTAATTTTGTAGACGTTTCCAAGGGAGTAAATAGACTTTTCATTTAGAAACTAATTCCTGTACTTTAGGAAGAAATAAAATATATAAATAGCACTAAAAATACCTCAAATTTTTCATTAGATAGAAGCATTTATTGGCATTATTGACATCAACAGGTTTAATTATAAACTTCCTTTTCTCTCCTGTGGCTTCTGCTCAGAACTGTTCATTGTTCTGTGGCTTACAAGACAAGGCATCATAACCATATTCCTAGAGGCTTTATTTCTGAAGTAGTAATGCTTTATTTACAGCTTATACAGAATACATTCAGAACTTTTTTTTTAACCAGAGATTCTAGTGACAACAGACAACTGAACAAGCAGATAGATTTGGGTTCCTTAGACCTGTTATTGTCGGTCTCTGAGGGAAGAGACTTTGACATTATCTGGTATGAAGAAATCCAAAATAGTGTATAAGACTGTTATTAGTCTTTTTTTGAAGTGCCTGATAACATTTATGGGCCAACGGATGTGATTAAACACATTTTAATGCCAGAAAGTACAGATGGGACCAAACCAGAACATCGAATTCAAATCGACCTGAGGTTTGAAACCAGATCTAAATCCAGCTTTTTTTGGCTTGGACCTATCTCTACCAGAAACTTGTTTTATGAACTCACTGTAAAAGGGTTTATCGAAAGCATTGAGACGTGGAGCAGAAGGAGAGATGTAATTTTCTTCAAAATGACTGAAAGTTCTCATACAGCTAATGTTTTAGAAATAGTGCAAATATCAAGAAGTGCTTCCTTGCTACAATGCTGAATGTTGGAGCTTCAGTTACAAATAAATACAAAAAAAAGAAAGAAAAAAAAAAAAAAGGAAAAAAAAGAAACTAGGAGCCAAGAATGTTGGAGCTTCAGTTAAAAAAAAATAAAAAAAAAAAAAAAAAAAAAAAAAAAAAGGAAAAAAAAGAAACTAGAAGCAAGCAAGTAAATTAGCTGAGTTTGTGGAACGTGTGGGAAGGCCTTCCGAATAAGCGATTTACTCAGCCAAACATTTTATAGCAGAACTATTCCTTGGAATTTTTATGCTTGGGAAAGTAGTTGTTAAACATTCCAAAAAGTGCTGGCACTTACAAAACAACAAAAAATAATCAACAAGGCAGTATAAAATATTGGTTTTGGGTGGCTATCTTCATACATAAACATTGTCATGTTTTGGAATGTTCTTTATATCTAAGGGCCTGTTAGAAGGTGTAAAGAATTTTGTTTTCTTCAATACCTAATCGTTTTCCATCTTATGATTTGTGTGTGTGTGTGTTGTACAGCAGTATAATTTTTCACTTATTTATTCCATCGGTAGTTATGGTTTGTACAATGTACAATGGTTTCATTTCAAAAATAAAATAAAAAATCACAACATGAATGCTGTGTGAATAATTTTTATCAAGAAACTTAATCTCAGTTTGTTTTTTTTAAATTACAATAAATTTCTGTTTTTATAAATGGTATTTTAAAATGTGCATTCTATGGTGTTGTCTCATTTGGTAACGTGAAAAATGATTCACCTTGGAGCGGACCAAAGGTGTCTTCATATTGTAGCAGGACACTGGGCGGGGCGGGGGCAGTTTGTTGTTGTAACAACAACAAACAAACAAAGATGGCCAATGTAATTACAGCAGCCTGCAGAATAACTTGGTAATTTAAGGTGCTTACCGTTGGCTTGGTACTCGGCTAATGTGTTGTGGTAACTTAAATTGGAAGGAGGAGGACAGTGTGTGGAAACATGCTTCAGTTTGGAAACGTGCTCGAGTCTGATGCTAGCAAGGGTAAAACTCCTTAAGAGTTTTGGAAAGATTCTTTACGTTCAAGATGGATATAAAGTGTCTAGCTTATTTTTAGTGTTCTATGTGCTCTGTTCCAAAGTAGCCTGCAGTTTCACAGACAGCTGAACTGGTCTGCTGGCTCACTGCAACCAGAAGGGTGAGCCACAGCCAGCTCGCCTGCTCCCAGCTTGGTTTTGTTGCCTCCCTTGCATTTACTGGGGTGTTCATAGCATCGTCTCATCAACCACTTAAATTCACTAATCTGGAAGAATTAGTTAGGTTTTTTTTCCTTCTCTGGTTTAGTGAATGAAATCAGCACTTACATAAAGGTAGTATATATAGGGTGGAACTGGAGAGAGAGAAAAGAACAGGTAGAAACAAGGATGTAATTCAAGATGGGTCCCAGAAGGAAAGGCCTCCGAACAGGTAAGGCTTGTGGCAGTGAAGGGTGAAGGAGCGAGGCACAGCCTAGCTGAGAGGCAGGGTGCGGAGTTGGAGGTTGGCCCTGTGGTTTGCCTGGGAGCGGGACGGGCAGAGGAGCCAGCGGAGCGGTAACGGGATGGCTGGACTCCCGGCGCCTGCAGTCAGCCCCACAGTCAGGCTGTGAGTAAGATTCCTTGAGCTGTTGCGCCTCATCAAAATGGGAATGCTTATCTTCCTGTCTGTAGATTTAAGGGGATAATCTCTTAACCACTAAGTATTGTGGAGTACGCTGTGGGTATATTTTTAAACAGCTTGAATGTCTCTGTTCAGTGCGTATTACAGTTGAATTCTAAGTTGGTAAATGTCTGTCTCCTCCTGTGCTAAAAGCCTGCGCTGTTGAAGGAACATCATCAGAAGATGATGGCCTACGTTTCACCTTGCACTGCAGATTGCTAAAAAGAAACAGTAAGAAAAAGCATACTCAAAAGAAGCTGTCCCTTAGTGTTCCCCTGTGCCTCCTGGAATTCCTTACTGCGGAGGAGGAGAGGATAGCTGGGAGTCTTCACCTGTTACTGATCACCTAAATGCTGACCTTAAAAAGGCAAACCAAGAGATCTGTCTCCAAAATAACTGGATTTGTTTTAAAGGATGCGTTTTTCCTTGCCTCTGTGATATTTACACCGAGGACAATTAGAGGAGAAAACCCTGAACTGCATCAAATGTTAGTCATAGCTTAAGACTGCTACCCCTATTTTAAATGATGGTTTG